TACCATCACGATTGTCCCTACCATCACGATTGTCCCTACCATCACGACCGTCTCGACTGTCCTTACTATCCTTATTGACAACATCACCATCACTGTCGCTGCTACTACTGCTGCTACGGTCGCTGTGGAAAAACTTCCTCCGGGCAAGCACTTGGGGGTCGCTGTTCCCCGCATCGGACACGTTCATCAGGCACTTGTTGCCACTGCGGAACTCGGAGATGCTCTTGTTCATCATGAACAATTTGTAATAGTCTATACTCTCTATGTTGATGAAGTCATTAGTTCTTAGTTCAGAAAACAGGTTCGTACACTTTTTGTTTAATGGGACAATCAGGGGTGGAATTACTTTCTGAGTAACAATACTGGGCAGGTGGAAATAACACTTCAATTTATTTTCCCTGACCCACTGATTTAGTTTCTGCTTGCTGTAGTGGCTACGATTGGCCTTCTTAATGTCGTTAATAAAATCTTCTAAAACATCTTCATTTGTCACATCTGAGTATTCGTCACTTTTGGAATCTCGATTCGGCGCCACTTTATTTTTCTTCTTTATCTTGCTGCATCTGTTCATCAGTTTTTCTCTGGGGTCCCTTTCTTCGTCCCGTTTGCGCTCTTTTTTTCGGCGATTCTTTCTTCCACCTTCATCTTTGTGTGATAATTTCTTTGATTGTCCGCTGTTTATTGTTTCTTCTTCTTCCTCTTCATCTTCTTCGTCTTCTTCATCGTCGTCCTTCTCGTCGTCGTCTTCTCCCTCATCATGGTAATCACTTTCATCATCGGTGCGATCACCTCCATCATTTCCTCCCCTGGCTGGTAGGTATCCCCTCCTATGACTATGGCCATTGCCTTCGCGGCTATTATCATTCTTGTCATTTTTGTTAAATCGTCTTCCTTCTCCTTCTCCCTGATTGCTCTCATTGTCATTGTTTCCATTCCCATTTGGTTCTCCGTTGGCCGTTTGTCGGGGCTGGGGAGCCTTTCCTGCAAGGGGATAGTCGTCGTAGAGCGCTTTGCTCACATCGCTGATGCGAATTTGCTCTTCCTCTGTTGGTGATACTTCCTGAGCATCCATCTTCCTTTTGTTTCTGCAGTTGCCCATTGGGCCATCTTTTACTCCGTTTTTGTGCATTCCTCTCGCTACGCCTCTCGGGCTGCCCTTCCCTGTTCGCACCACGCTTCGAACAGTGCGAACTGCGCGAACGGCAATAGGCCTCCCTAGGGTCGCCTTCAGACACACAATCTTGCCTTCACTGCCGGTGGTCCCCGCTCTGAGGCAATGGTAATGGAAAGCACGAACGCTTCGCACAGGGTCACGGAGGTGCCCCAATTTGAACATAGACTTGACCACTTTGTCCCATTTTGTGTCGCGCACTCCGTTTGGTTCCTTCTCTCTGTAACGGATAAAGTGGGGCTTTTGCTTCCTTCCCTCGTTGGACTTTTTCTCCTTTTTCGTTTTCTTCACGAAGGCGCAAAATCTTTGCACTTCCGTTTTTGGTTCACTATCCTCAGAAATGTCCTTGTCATAATTTGCGTTCTTTTGGCTTATCGCTTTTGCAATTTTATGCAGGCTGATAAATTTCTCAAAATTGTTTTTGAATATTTTTCTGAACAGGTCTTCCTCGAGCAGGTCAAGCTCAGCTGCACAAATGGCGTCGTCACCACTTTTGCCATCTATCCCAGGGGCCTTAAAAAGGCTGCGGAAAACGGCGCACATGTTTTTCTCCGACTTGCACAAATTACATTTCCTAATTTCGCGAAACATGTGCACCATGTTCTCATCAGTGAGCTCAAATTCTTTTTCTACTTGATCCACTTCGTTGAGAAAATTAGAAATGCAGGAATTGATTTTTTTTAGCTCACTATTGCCAACATTTGGAGGCTCCCACAGGGTCTTCTTCTTTTCTCTCCTGCCGTCCATTTGTTTGATTATGCATTCGAAGCAAAGGAAGACAGAACCTGATAACTGCATCTCGACTTTGCACTTTGCACAAACATTAGTGAGATTCTTTTGTAAATAAAAACCAAAGGCCTTTTTCTGTGTGTTAATAAAATTTTCAATTATTTTATCTTCCATTCCGACTGCCTTAGGGTTCTTTTTTTTTGAGCAATGCAAAATTAGCTTTAGCAAGTTACCATCACTTAATACGTTTTTCTCATTCTTCCTGTGGGTCTCTTCAACGTTGCTTCTAATTGAATTTGAAATGCTGCCATTATTCACTTCTACATTTTCATCACATTTTTGTTTTTTTTCCTGTGCATTTTCTGTTTCCCTTTGGGGGATGATTCTTTCCGGGGAATCGGCTTCATTTTCTCCTATGGGTACATCCTTTGGAGAACACTCCATTATGGCCTCCTGTTCTTCTATGCAAACGGAGTGAAATGAATGAATCGACTCGTTAGGTTGACCCGATTCTACAACTTGGCTCAGACTGCTTCTGGATGAGCACGCACTGTTGCAGTATTCACCGTGGTAAGTTGCTATTCCTGGTAAGTTGCACGTGGTAACTACTCCTGCCTTCTTATGCATCATCTCCATTTTGGTATCCTGGCAGAAATGTACTCTTACCCCTTCTTTACTATAGCTTTGGTTGTCAGTGGTACATGCGTTGTTGCGTTCACGTACATTGGCATAAGGTGGCGGGGAACACGAGCTGGTAGAACTTTCGTCTCTTTCACCACCTTGCCCACTGTGTTGATGAGTCTCTCCTTCAGTGTCTTTACCTTTACTCAAGCGTTTGGTACGAGCTGCACCCGAAACGCCCTTCACATTAGCATTATGGTCGATGCCTGCTGCGGTAGCTGAGGTAGCAGCGGTGGGGACGGCGTTCACACTATAACGAGACCTATGTGCACTTGAATTGGTCCCCTCTAGGTCATCAACCAATTCGCCTTCGTCACAACTGAAGTTGTTATGAACAAAGAGAGCTGCGTCCTCCTCCCTGTCACCATCACATATGAATTCTGAATCAACATTTATTACAGACTCATCAAACGTGTAGTTACTCTCCAGCCCATCCTCCCGATTGACACTCAGCGAAGAAATCGCCTCTCCGTAATATTCGCAGTCACCACTACTGCAGTTATCATCATCAATATTTTTATAATCATTAGAATTTTCATTGTCTGAGCTTTGGCAGGTGTTGTATGCGTGGGCACTTAATACGTTCATGTAATCATTTTGGTCATTCCTTGTTTTTACGTTAGTGCTATCAGCGGGGAGGGGGTACTTAAAGTTTGTTTTACTAAGGTTGATCACAGTGGCGGGGGAGCGTCCAACATGGGCATCACCCGGGGAGTGTACTTCTTCGTTGATTACTCGGGCTGGGTTGGCGTTCCTCGCGGTTCGTTCGTTATGGTTCCCCTGCCGCCTGTGCATGTGCCTATTCTCGCGTAGATCTTCGTGGAGATCGTCATGAAAATCGTCGCGCAGATCCTCGTGGAAGTCTCCGCAAAGGTCGTCGTAAATGTCGTAGTCATCACCACCGTGCTCGATGCACTGCTCATCGCTGCGCCCATCAGAGTCATCACTCTTCGAGGACGCGCGATAGAACGCATACCCTCCTGCAGGCAATGGCTGTCTATCCACAAACTTCCAGTTGTCCTGGATGGTGCCCGCCTGTAGGAGTTCGCTGCCATCACTTATGCTATAATGTGAGGGTGTCCCTCTCTTCTTGTTCATGCGATTGGTAACCATATGTTCATCATCGTATTTTATTTTGCTATCTGCAGTCTGGGTGTTTTTTTCACTGTGTGATTTTGTGAAACCGTTTGGTTTCTTCTTTACGTCCCCTACACTGGTATTGCCAGTGCCCTGCACGACTGAACTTTCCTTTCCTTGGTCATAAGCATCTTGCTTCCAAGGAGAAAAAAGGGAACTGTCGTTGCTGCTGTATTTTCCTCCTCTCTCGTAGGAATTATTGTGCATACTCTTCGAGTTGACATTTTGATACTCATTCGGTTCTTCATGAACATGTTCATACTGCATGTCTAAGTAGTCCTCTTCACTTGGGGAAGAGTAACTAACATAACATGAAGTATTTTTGTCATCCTCTGAATAATTTTTCTCGATCATTTTTTCTTTGCTTATGCCATTTGGCTTCCTGATGTTAAATGTGTCTTCGTCTAAAATGTTGCACTCCATTTTGTTTTTTCTTTTTTTTTTTTTTTTTGGAGAGGGGATGCATGTAAAAAAAAGGGTACAAGAGTGTGTACAGGAAAAAGGTGCAAGAGAGTACAAGAAAAGTACAAGAGGGGGGCACAAGTAGGCGCGTAAACAAAAATGGGCCTAAAATGTCCGCATAAATATGTGCCCCAAATGACCGCGCAAATATGTGTATTACATATATGTGCGCAAATGGCCACGTACTCTTGATATGTATGTTTTCATTTATATATAATCACCCGTGCGTATTTTTTTTTCTTTTTTTTTTTTTTTTATTCCTTTTCTTCTGTTCATCTAAAGCATCACACGCTATTTGAAAAATGCAAATAAATATGCGCACATACGTACATATACATTTATGTCAAAAAAAAAAAAAAAAAAATGGTACTTTTTTCGAGTGCAAAAAGGGCAGATTATATATATATATACACGTAAACACATGCATAACACGTGTGTTTAACTGGCCACTTGCACGATTTTTACAAGAAGGACGGGTAGAGCGGGGGCCAATAGAACTACGATATCACCTCCGTCGTTTGTCAGGTTTTCTCTCACAAGTGGCCATTAAGTGGTAATTAAAACTGGCACAAAAATGGCTGCTAAAACGGGTGCTACAAACAGCTGCTAAAATTGTCACAAAATTGTCACAAAAATGTTACAAAATCACCACAAAAAATAGCTACTATAAATTTTCCACAAAATTGCCACTATATAAATTGCCATAAATTTGTTGCCGCCAATTTTACAGAAAATTTCGGCAGATAATAACAGAAGAACAAAATGTAGCACGTATCATGATCCTGCGTTGAGGAGGCACAGAAGGGAAGGACGAGAATTATAAACTATACGTTATATATATATATTTACATATAATGCCGCTTCAACGAGCAAAAGTGACGGAGGCATGCATGCAGTGATGGCTGCGCACGCAAGTTTATAGGCTGCGGACGGAAACACATAAGGTGCGCATACACGTGAGAAAATTGTCCTGGCAATATGGTACACAAAATGGGTACACAGGTGCGCATAAATATACGTATGCACATGAACAAACGTATATATAAGTGTAATAAATACGGCTATGTTCTGTTACCCACGTATGCACCACGCGTGTTTTGTCAAAAGGCCCCGTACAACGGACACGCAAGAGTCGGCATAAAGTCAAGTCACAAAGGTGGCATGGAAATTTCGGAAAAAGTACACTCACATAAAAATGTACAATTTGTGCATTCATGCAGTTCATAAAATAACTTTTTTTTTTTTTTTTTTTTTTTCATGTGTTTACTTTCCTTTCCCGTGCAAGTTGCTAAGACCATACACAGGTTTGTTTCCCCCTTCCGTTTGTTCTTCCGTTCGTCGTTAAATTTTTTTTTTTTTTTTTTTTCGTACCCTCAGACTAACAAAAGTATAATTGACAAAAATGACAGGCTAAACGGGGAGGGGGAAAATACAAATTGGGAAGAAAAACAAAAACTCGTATTATATACAAGATGCAATTTTTTTTTTTTTTTTGAGCAGATTAAACGTAGTGAAATCGCTTCCCTTGTTCTACCTTCGCAATCGTATATGTGTGAGTGGATCAAGGTACGTCTGCCTGAACAACACGCACACAGACCACATGCATAACACACCAAAAGCGGGTGAGAGTCACATACACGAATGCGGGCAAATGTAGGGGAAGTGAACTCGTACCGACGCTGCTCTGCACATAAGATTCGAAAAATCAAGAGTCCAAAAAGGCATGCAACAGCAGTAGCCAATTTGGGCGGTACTCACAAAACACGTTCACAAAAAGACATGCACATGCCGTAGGTACGGGTATGCGCCATGTGTATATGTAACGAGCATACAGTGCGTATTCACGCACGTACATGGTACACGAATTGGACCTCGTGTGTGTATGCCAAGCAAGCACGGTCAAATGGGCGTAAGCTTGGATCAACGCGCAGACGAATCACACCGCAGAAATGTATGTAATATACGTTCTAGCGGTTGCTACGCCAACACGTTTATCCTAGCCTAGCGCCGAAAAAATATGACAATTTTTAACGTAGAAAAGGACATGCATACGAAGGTAGCAAAGCACCTCGCAAAATTACCACCGCGGATGCATATATGCAACATATGCTAACACGCAGGGGTATACGGAGAAAAAGGAAAGGCGCTTTTACGCAACACGTACGTGTATACGCCCCCTTGTGAGCTGTGCGCACTTTGCTGTTTCGTTGCAAGTCAACAAAACCAGAGTTGGTAAACTCGGCTAACAGATGGAAACAAAAATTAAATTTTTAGAGATGGTAAATTGTAGCTACAGAGAAAATACCAGCACTTGCGATTCCTCGTAAAGGTGTTTTCTCGTATCTGTTTTTGTAACGCATATTTCGCAATACGGTTTCGTTATAATATATAACCTATCGTTTATTGCTTTCTCTTTTTTTTTTTTTTTTTTTTGTTTTCCTTTTTAATTACTAATATTTGAATTCACGGAGGTGGAATGAATTTATATAGCCACTCTTTTTTTTTTTTTAGCAATATTTTTTTTATTTTCTATATGCTACTGTATACAGCACAACACTATGTTTAGGTCCCACGCCGCGGGCACGATTTTTCCTCGCCGCCTGCCAACCGATTCCCGCCCCTGCGAGTTTAAGGCGACGTGAAGTTGGGGCACCAACTTGCCGCTTTAACATTCCGCTGCACCGTATTATTCGCCCCTGGCCAATCATTTAAGGCTACCTCGGGGAAGCGATTCAAGTGAAGAACCTTGCTTTAATTCTTCTGCAGAAAATGTTATGTGCGCTCTGCTAACCTTGTATTATTAATCTGTTCGGAAAGCATATGGGGGGAATTCATTCGTGTATGCGTCCATGCACAGGAGTGAAAAATAAAAAAGCTACACAAAGGCATACGTCAACAGGCGTGTATGGTGTACACTGTAAATGAAGCCCACCCAACTATATAAATACATTATTGCGACAGGTTTTAATTAAGCACAATAGGTGCCATTTTATATAATTTGTTTGCCTCCGTTCTGCTTATCCGGTTTAGCATATACACAGTTTGCTTGCCCAGTGGAGCTCCACTTTTAAACGTGACCCCCAATCATGTTTAGTTCAACCCAAGAAAGTGCAAAAAAGAGGGGGCGAACGAATTGAGGAGAGAAAACTATACCCCCCATGACGACACAACACACATGCGTGCAGTGCACATTAGCCAACACTGGCTCCATCTGTAGGTCCAGAACATTATCCTGGTTTTACAACTCAATGTGGATGCCCTCCATTTTTATGCGTAATGGTGATTAACACTGTATGCTTCTCCCCACTAATATTTGAATTCACGGAGGTGGAATGAATTTATATAGCCACTCTTTTTTTTTTTTTAGCAATATTTTTTTTATTTTCTATATGCTACTGTATACAGCACAACACTATGTTTAGGTCCCACGCCGCGGGCACGATTTTTCCTCGCCGCCTGCCAACCGATTCCCGCCCCGCCCCTGCGAGTTTAAGGCGACGTGAAGTTGGGGCACCAACTTGCCGCTTTAACATTCCGCTGCACCGTATTATTCGCCCCTGGCCAATCATTTAAGGCTACCTCGGGGAAGCGATTCAAGTGAAGAACCTTGCTTTAATTCTTCTGCAGAAAATGTTATGTGCGCTCTGCTAACCTTGTATTATTAATCTGTTCGGAAAGCATATGGGGGGAATTCATTCGTGTATGCGTCCATGCACAGGAGTGAAAAATAAAAAAGCTACACAAAGGCATACGTCAACAGGCGTGTATGGTGTACACTGTAAATGAAGCCCACCCAACTATATAAATACATTATTGCGACAGGTTTTAATTAAGCACAATAGGTGCCATTTTATATAATTTGTTTGCCTCCGTTCTGCTTATCCGGTTTAGCATATACACAGTTTGCTTGCCCAGTGGAGCTCCACTTTTAAACGTGACCCCCAATCATGTTTAGTTCAACCCAAGAAAGTGCAAAAAAGAGGGGGCGAACGAATTGAGGAGAGAAAACTATACCCCCCATGACGACACAACACACATGCGTGCAGTGCACATTAGCCAACACTGGCTCCATCTGTAGGTCCAGAACATTATCCTGGTTTTACAACTCAATGTGGATGCCCTCCATTTTTATGCGTAATGGTGATTAACACTGTATGCTTCTCCCCACTTTGTTACTGTTTGGGTTTTTTTTTTTTTTTTCTTTTCCCCACTATATTAGTTGTTCGCCATACGTGGTGGGAAACCACGTGTTGTTAAGAGGAGGGGGGCATACTTTGACGAAAATAATAAATTTATTTTTTCCTTTTTATATTGCTAGTGCACTTATATCCCCGTTTGGCATGTGGCCATTTTGTAACATTTTTCATTAAAATAGAGACAAAAAAAAAAAAAAAAAAAATAATAATAATAATAATAATAATAAAATAAATAAAGCGTAAACGGCACACACGAGAGTAGGCAGACATGTGTACTCATGTGCAGGTAAACATGGAGAGGTATACAAACGAGGGGTGTTTAAAGCAGGCGCATCGGTTGAGCGCCCGTTCTACTAAATTGTATGAACGGAAAATATGCGCGCAGGGTGTCAACCCATTTGCACAATAGTGGTGGCACTTCCAACCCGCCGCCGCGTCAAACGTGGGGACTCTCCTTGTAGGTGTCGTCCATGTACATGCCCGCAGAACTGTCATTAGCGATGGTCATAGATTTGTTGTTCTTCCGCTTTGCACTCATTCGCCTCTTCACCTTGTTTATTAGGTCATAGTAATAAATGACAAAACTTAGCAAAAGAATTATAACACCTACTAAAATGACAATGGTGCAGGTGACCAAGGTCCCATCGAAGAACCCACGTCCATCCGAAGCGTTGTTTTGATCTGGTTTCGAATCTGCATCTCCCTCCTCATCCTTTTCCTCACGCACTTCATTTTCATCATTATATTCTTCCCCTTCCTTTACCTCAAAACTCTCATACTTATAGTCTACCAATTCATTCTTGTCATACACATGCACACTGTTCTTAAGCTTTAATTTATCGAAGGCCTCATCACTTATCTTCACAATGGAGTTTTGAACTTGAAAATTCATAGGCATTAGGTGCAAAGAATTATGAGAATGTATTGAGACAAAACTGAATGGACTTACATTATACGTACTGCTGTTGACGTCTGCCCAGGACCCTCCATTAGAAGCTGAGTCGGACGCCAAGACAGACCAGGGTAAATGCTTATGAACAGTTTTCTCCAAATTGTTCTTGAATAGGGAGTTGCCAGATGAGTTGGTAAAATTACGGGGCACATTATCAGACAAATTTTTGAGGTCGATAAAACTACTCCTTTCTCTTTTTCGCTCCTCTATTAGGTCAGTTGAATCTTTGCTGTCTTCTTCTTCTCCCTTCTGCACGTAGGTATTTCTTGCCTCCACAAATTTTAAGTCGTTCACATTGTTTTCTTTTTCCGCTCGGTCAATACGGTCATATGCTTCCTCCGTTTCGTTTTGTTTACTTGGCATGCTGTTCATATCTTCCTTAATCTTATGGGGCATTTTTTCCGCGAAAGCCGGGGCGCTCTCCTGGTCGTTCTCGCCAAATAGGTCGTCCTTTCTTTCATCATTCGCCGTCACCTGTATGTAATTTAGTTTATTTGTGCATCTGAGCTTTTCCCTTCGTCCCTGGCCACTTCCCAGGTCTTCTTTGTCTGGTTCTGAGTCGGGATCCTTGTCGAACTCTTCCTCCACTTCATGCTTTTTCATTTCTGCATTTACCAACTTGTCAATTTTTTTATCCTCCGCCTCTTCCTCCTTCCTACTCATCTTTCGCTTTGCCCCTCCATCTTCTGCTGTATATTCATCCGCATCTCCGTCCAAGTGGTAACTGGGTGTGCCTCCATCATCATCTCTCTCGTCTCCCCTGTCTTCTTCACCGCCGTCGTCCTCGCCGCTATCGTCCTCATCCCCGCTTAACTGTCTGCTGATAATCGAGCACGGCGCCAGCCCCCCACTAGGGGTGTAATAAATCGTCTCATTGCTTAATGCAACTGTCCCTGCGCTACCCGTACGTTCCTCATATGCATGGGAAAAAACGCAACTCAAGGCGGCACCCTTTTTGCAAAATTTTTTTTCGAAAAGAAAAAAAAATAAAGTTAAGAGACAACATCTAGCATTAAAAATATTCATATCTTTCTCTTGTTTTTTTTGTTTTGGAGGGGATGGGGGGGGGAAGTTATATATTCGTGGTGGAATTGTTAACTACCGCCTAGCAAGGTGAACACTCCTGCGCGTAAAAACCATGTACTCAATGTTTCTGCGGAAATGGGGGGCATATCGTTTGGTTCAATAGAGCACCACCTTATCCAGGGATCTTTTCTGTAACCTGCATGAGGAGAGAGACACACACAGAAATGTATGTTGCATGGGTGTAGGTATATAAATACATACATATATTTTTGCGTTTCTCTTTCTTGACTTGTCTTGTCCTTTTTTGCGTCTCTCCTGTTGCCTTACTTGCAGAAGATTTATATTCCCCGCTCTGTCGTTTGTCTTCCTGTTTGTCCTGGTTGTGTTCTTTATCTTTACCGCTCTTCTTTTTTTTTTTTTTTTTTTTTTTTTTTTTTTTGTGCCCTTTTTCCTGAACAAACACAGGAACGTTGCGGCTGTTTGATGTTGCCAAAGGGGAGTTAAAAGAGTGAGGTGGGAAAAAGGGAGAAAATATGGAATGGGCACACAGAACAGACGCAAAACTAATTAACACCAATTTTTGCAACGACTTTTTCTGCTGCTCACGATGACGAGCTCGCAAGTAGGACACATACGGGGAAGCAGTTCAGTGACAAGCATAACGGAGGACTCACCAAAATCGGGAAAAAAAAAAAAAAAAAAAAAAAAGGAAGAGAATTATTCAACTGTTCTTCTTCCTCCAGGTGTGTAAAATTGGGACGCTTCCAAAGTTGTCCTCACTTTGTCCGTTCGCTTACTTTTTTTTTTTGTGCCAATTTTTCCAGTCTATATAAAAATTTTTTGAGTTACACGTGTCCAGTCGTTAACGTGGAAAACATTTATTCGTTCGATGTGATTAAATTTTTCGTAGCAAAAAATAAAATAAAAAAAAAAAACAAAAATTAAAATATAGCAAAATCCGTGGAGATCAATTCTTTAAGGACAAATACGAAAAAAAAAAACCAAGTCATGCATCACGCAGGTGAATAAAATTCGATTTACGTTCATGTGTAAGGTGGGCTCCCAAAAATGAGGAAGTGTTGTCAGAGTAAGCATAATGGCTGTAATTTTGGAATGCCTTGTATTTTGTGGAGAAAATTGTTTGACCAATACATGAGACAATCCATTTCAGTTAAAACGAGCGAGACAACAAAAGTGTAAATGGAGGAGTCTTTTTTTTTTTTTTTTTTTTTTTTTTTTTTTTTTTGATCATAATTGTAATGATCAGAATGTAGGTTGTTTTTTTTTTAAGCAGAAGCTGCAACACTTTTACAAAATCATCTGCATGCATGTGCATGAGGGTTTGAAAGACTTGTCCTTTTTCTAGTCACCAGTAGTGCTTCTCTCTACATACGTATGCAGAGTGTTTACACACATTTATGTGTACTCCTTTGCCAAAAAAAAAAAAAAAAAAAAAAAAAAAGGTTCTCTCCTTTTTTTGTGTCCTTCCATGATTTTTCCGCGTCGGTCGAATTTCTATTAACAGGAAGAAATTTTTTTTTTTTTCATCATATCGCCTATCTGACTCAGATGCGACACAAAAAGTATGGAAAACATGCCGCAAACAAATCAGACATGGGTAAACGTTCGCTCGATTTGCCTCATTGGGTCACCCTTGGGACACTTTTTCTCATGCAACGATTCCTCACAGGTGTGAATTTCCAACGGGCGCTATTCACTATGTTGCAACATTTTATGGGTAATTTCCCTGAGGGGAAAAAAAAGGGGGAAAGTCCCTCCTCTTGTTCACAGGATGAGAAATGACCCTTTCTGTTCTCTGTCCCTTCGCCTTCATTTTTTTTTTTCCCCCTCTTGAGTTGGTTTCAAGACAAATTTAAGGGAAGCGTCCCGCAAAGTACAAATCTCCATATTTTACACGGGCAACTTTGTACAGTTAATAAATGGACAAACGGCAAGGGCACCTTTTTTTCTTTTTTTTTCTTTTATTCACAAATTATGCCTCCATACGTATGTGTAAGGAGTCTCCATGGGCATATAGTCTCTTTTTATAAGTACGGTTATTTCCTCGTGCAAACCACATCGCATATAATTGCGGCGGCGTACGAATAGGCAAATGCGTGCGTTCAAATAAATTGGCGCATGAACAGTTTTGCCATCAAAAGGGGAAATATAGTTCTCACAGAGTAAGGAAATAACATAGGACAGGGGGAAAATAAAAAAATATTAAAAAAAAGCCTAAATGGGTATTTATGTTTCATTAAATTAGGAATCATACGCAGTGGTCACACCTGAGGAAAAGTCGTTTTATGCTGATGTGTTTGTTCGGCTCTTGTCACTGCACTATTTTTTTTTTTTTTTTTTTTTTTTTTCAAGTGCAACTTTATCTGTACTGTGATACATTTCGCGGAGTTGTATTTTTTTTTTTTTTAATTGTGAAGCCGAATGGAAGAACAAATTGCCCTTTCGCATTTTTCTTTCGCTTGTGCTGAAAGAGGTAAAGCGATGCGCATTCAACTGGAAGGGCAAGTGGTAAGTGGGCAAATGGGTAATGAGCAAATGAAAACGCATCGGCCAAAACAAATTACACACAATGTGTTAAAAAAAAAAGGCTGCTTTTCTCCCCCTTTCGCTTAAGTGTTGAAAAGGGCCTCCCCCACCCCACCCAACAATTTTACCCCCTCTGGAGATCAGCGCAGTTTCCTCTGTCCGAATTTTAAAATCTGTTCCTTCTTTTGTATTCTTCCCGCTCATCCCATTTTTTTTTTTTGTTTTTTTTTTTTGCTTAATTTGAAAGTTGTTATAGACCAGAAATGAACATAAAATTTGAGTAATTATTTTGTTTTTATTTATTTTTTTTTTCTCCCATTTGGATCCATTTATGAAGAAATTCACGCATAGCTTAAATCTATTTTCGCCGAAAGATAAGAAGTCAGTTGTTCTCGCAGCGCAGCATGCACGCTAAGACGTGTTGCAATCATTTTTCTGCGACGCTGTGACGGTTGATCCATACACATCGATCATTTCGAAACGTCCTTGTGTTGAGAGCATATGTGTAATATCTACATGTGTGTAAAACCTGCACAGAATATATTTTTTCCCTTTCTCCTGTTCGAACCTTGAACACGCAGGTGCAACAATGATAAGGGAAACGAACTCGAGAAAAACGTCCTCACCACGAAAGAGTTAGGCACGAACGAGTTAGACACGAAGGAGTTAGACGCGAAAGGGATACCCTCAAATGGGGCTTCCGCCAGCGGGGTCACCCCAGACCCGATCTACGAATTGGGAAACGAAATAGAAGACCTTTTTGATGAAGATGTGGAGAACATCAAATTTAACGCAGATGAAATTTCTTCCTTTTTTCTGAAAAATAACCAACTCGAAAATGAAAAGGAAGAATCAGAAAATGTTTGTAGCAACCCACGAGAGGTGAACAGCATGGAGAGAAATCCCGAATGTAACAAAATAAAAAGTCTGTTCGATCCAGCCATCAGTGGACCATACGTCTGCTGCGTTGCCATTTTGTCCAAAAGAGAAAATGTCGAAATTGAGTTTATGCACCCAGAGATATTGAAGCCGCATGAAACAGAGCATATAAATAAAAGGAGGAACAAAAAAAAAATGAAAATCATAACCCCTTTTTGCGTATGGCATAGATACCAAGGGGACTGGGTAGAGGATGTGAAATTTTTAATTGCAGAAAGGATGTACTTGTTTGGGGAAACCAACACGGGGAACGTCCTCTGCGATTTTTACAATCACAAGTCTTGCAAAAATTATAATGAATACAATGTTATGTATGCCCCTAGTGGGAACAGGTACTACATGGTAGGGCTGAATTATATGCAGGACAGCAGTTACAACGAGATCCTGACCATTGCGCAGGTGCCACACTTTGACTTCATATACGAGAGGCTTTGCCCGGCGGTGCGGGCCGTCCTGGGGCAGGAAAGGGCCACGGATACAGCAATGGGTAGAGCGGACGGTGTAGTGCAGGATAAATCGCAGCCCTGTGTGAAAAATAAAGGGGATGCACAAAAAAAATACGGCGAGCTGATCACCTTCGTCGACAGCTTCGCGCAGGATAATCCATTTGATCAAATGGAGTTCAACGATTACTACGTGCATTTGTCCAAAGACATAGAACACGTTAACAACATAAAAGTGAAAAATGTTCTGATCATTCTAAAAGCAATGTTATTGGAAAAAAAAATTGTCATTTCATGTTCGAAGAAAGGAAATGGATGCAGAATGGTGTTGCTCCTCCTTTCCCTCATTCCTGACATAATAAATTTTGGATTCAATGTAAAAATTTATGAGGACAAATTTGAAGAATGGATAAAATTAAAACTCCCTCTAATTTTATTTCACGAAAAGTATGTTCTTCTCCTCCACATAAATAACTTGCAACTATTTAATGAACACGCAAATGGAAAGAACTACTTCATATCGACCAGCAAAGGTAGCGATGTATATTATTACGTAAAGAATAATGTAGACGTTTTGTACGAGATGGACAATGACGAGCTAATTGTGAAAAAGGAAAATTTAATGAATGCTTTAAGTTTGACAAAATATGAATATAATTATTTGAAGGGCCTTAACTCCATTTTTCAATCTTTGATTAATTTTTCTTCTCTTTTTTTTGAGACCTCCAAACAGAGCAGTATCATGGAGAATGGTCATACTGGGGGAGGGTTTTCCCAGGGGCACTCTACCTCTGCTAATGTATTGGACAATCGCTTAGGTGCAACAGATTGTCTCGACGGTGGGAATACCATTTGTGCGCAACAGAATGAAGAAGTGGACAAGCACACACGAGGTGGAGATGTGATCCCCGATCGGGAAACCCTTCCTTATAAGAGTAGTAACCATGAACGTAATAAACAAAATCATGTTGATGGGTGGAAGAACCCTGTCTTGGGAGAAGCCCAAGTTGATCATGATGAAGGAAAAAACGAATACATTGATGACGAAGATGACATATGTGTCCTAGACACAAAATCTGTGAACTTCCAAAAAAGCGAACAGAAGAGGTTTGACCAAATGGGTGAAACCGAAGAAAGGACCCAAAGTAGCAACACAAAAAAAAACGTATCAATGAATGATGAATCGGATAAGTACATTTCCAACTTGAGGAGCCATTTTCATGTGTATTTTAAGAATTTTTTTATGTCAAGCAAAGAAAATTACGAAGAGGGAAAAAAGGAAATGAGAGAACAGTATGAACTGAATTATAACAATGACTTTCTCCAATTATGGCAAGAAACAGAAAATTATAATTATTTCATTGAGAAGGATTTCAAAATGAACAAGTTTTTAAAAATTGCAGAACAGAATAACGTCCCATTTGACAAGCAAAAAATGGAGGACTACAAATTTGTGGATGATTTGTTAATAATCGACAAGAGGGATAATTCAGAAAGTGGAAAAAATGAACAAAAAAATTTTAAGGATGTCTTGGTAATATCGTTAAAGGGCTATGTGTACGAAGGGACTTTTTCCATTTTAAAAAATTGCAAAGAAGGGGTAGGCAAATTTTTGTATAACATACACGATATAACTTTTCACGGAGAATGGCAAAACGATCAAATAAATGGGTCTGGTCATTTACTATACAATAACAAATTCAAATATTTTGGAAATTTTAAAAATAACCTGTTCAGTGGAAATGGACTCTTTGTTGATAATTTGTTAAATCAATATGAAGGGGAATTTTCCAATGGCTCATTTAATGGGAATGGAAAACTTATATTTAACAGAAATACTTACATAGGCATTTTTAAAAATAATAATTTAGTAGGAAAGGGAAAAATATTGCACAAAAATGGACTTGTATATACGGGAGAAATAAAGAACTTTCTCCCCCATGGATATGGCTTCCTCTCCTACAACAGTTCAACCGTATTTGAAGGATACTTTGTTGAAGGGAAAAAAAATGGAAATGGTTTTTTAACCATAAATCAGGGCTCCATTTCGGATGAATGTTTCTGTATTGAGGGGAAGTGGAGTAATGATGAACCTGTCGTGAGAAGAAATTTCCATATTATTTTTCCAAACAAGGATAAGTACATAGGGAAAATTTATTTCCTACCCTCTTGGAAAGAAGACAACAGGAAGGGGCGGAATCTGTGGAGTGACCACCATGCCATGTGTCAGCAGATTCATCATCAGCTTTTTGAAGCCAAGCAATTGATAGAAAGTCAAATCGGTTTTGCGAACCAGGGTGGAGTACAATCCCCGGTTGACAGTTCGAACAACGTGGAGGAAAAACGGGAAAGCATTAGCAACGGAAGCACCCGAAACGTTACTGGCATCACCTGGAGCGATAGTACACACCCCATTCGCTGTGCGAACACGGCCGATTCTTTTATCCACCACAGTAGTGTCCTTACCACGGCAGGCAGTAAGAACTGTTTAGAATACCAGCATTGGGGGAAAAAAGACGCGGGAAGTCAAATTTTAAAATCCAACGATGAAACCCTCATTTCAACAGAAACGCAAAATAACGAACAGAGGCATTATCCCCCAGGTGAAGATCCCAACTCAGATCAGGCAAAAGTTATCAAAAAAAAGGTGCTGAAGGAAAAACTCGAAACTATCTTAAAAATGAAAGAAAGAAAAACGTTGAGGAAATGTTTCGAAATATTAGACAATTATTGGATATGCAACATAGAACAAAAGTTAAGGGAAAATAAAGATGTCGTTGAATATTTAAAAAAGAACAAAGTCGTTCTCGTTCCACATAGAGAAGGACTAAGTATAACTTGTGATCAGAAAAAAAAAGAAAATTATGATGGGAAATTTTGCTTAGGTATGAAACAGGGATATGGCATATCTGTCTATGGTGACACAAACAGATATGAAGGCTACTGGCACAGGGGAATGAAGCATGGTTCTGGACTTTTGTACGAAGGGGACAGTGTATACCATGTCAACTTTAGCTACGATAAGTTAATTGAGAAGAAGGAAATTTCGCCTGAGCAAGTAAGTAGGTTTAAGCCCCAAAAGGCAGCCCCCAGTGTGAAGAAACGAGGAAATCAATTTTTAATAAATCAGTCCTTCTTTCAGTATAGGACGCTTTTGTCCTCCACCGTGTGTCAGTACCTTTGAGGGCGCCTCCAGTTAGCAGTTAACGAAATGTTGGAAAGGCATTTGGAGCGTCTAAATGGTGAAGAAAACCCTGCTACGTCGCTCTACATTAGACCAGCTTTTGTTTTTAAAACGATGGGAACTCCTCCGCGAACGATGCATACACAGTTTTATTTCGTTAATAATGCAACGCCTAGATCAGGTGCTTGCTATTGTAACGGTGAGTTTAAAAGACTTTGTTAACGCAGCACATGTGGGTAACATATGAATGTTGAAAAATAAAAATGGGAGATGGTAAATGGAAAGATACGCAGACAGTTTTGTCGGCACCCACACATGCTTGTATTATATGCTCTGCGTTCCGCTTTTTCTCCTAAACTGATTTCCGAATGGGGAAAAAAACACTTTATCATTTGTGAAATACACACCTTTTTTTTTTTTTTTTTTTTTGTATCATTTTTGGTTATTTATTAATTTAATTTCTATGAAGACTTTAAAAATGGATGATCATAAAGTGAACAAATTGGAAGTAACAAGAACTAAGGTTGAAAAAATGTGAAATAACGTAAAATAAAGTGAACAAATTGGAAGAACGTAAAATAAAGTGAACAAATGTGAAATAACGTAAAATAAAGTGCAAACATGTAAAATAAGGCAAACTAAAGTGAACAAATGTGAAATAACGTAAAATGACGTAACACAAAATAAAGCAAAATAATCCACGTCTGCATGAACTGTTCATACATTTTTCTAATTGCACACGTGTACATGTATTAAAAAAAAAAAAAAAAAAAAAAGGCTAGCTGTGCAATGCAGCGATACTAGCTAGCCAAATCTTCTACACCATTTCATTTGTGAATTCCGGCGAATGTTCTAATTTCCCTTTTTTTCTCATAAGAACTGCTTCAAAACTTCAATAAATTTGTCATTGCGCAGGCAGTGATACTGGTCCAACGTTTTGTCAAAATGCTTATAAATTTCCTTCGTTCGGTAACTGGGAATTTTGGAATTGATGAACTCCACAATGTGTGTGTAGCACAAATGATGGTGTATAAAATTTAAGAAGAAGAAAACTATTTTGTACAATCTTTTTTTGCTCTGATAAATGGAATTGTTCTTTTTCCACTCAAGTAGGGATTGGAAGGCTACGTAATTTAAAACACTTATATCGACATCCTTTGCATTCATGTCCACAGTAAAAAAGGGTGGATTGTTCAACAAATAAATGTATGTTAATAACCACACGTTAAAAACTACATAGGGTGCTATGAAAAATATTAAAAAGTAAAATTGTCCAAATATGTAGATGGCCAGTCCGTACATTCCCAGAATTATGGTAAATATGAATGAATACAAATCAAAATAAATGGGTCCTTTTAACACTTTTAAAAAATCTTCGTTCAACGATGTCAGCAACGATTTTCTCGAATTCTCCGATGTATATGGCAGAAGAATAAAGGACGAAATGATACTTCCAAAGAAGTTATTTAAAAATCTGTTTTTAAAAACTAATCCTCTCTTGCATTCATAAACCAAGGAATATAGACTTGTGAACATGGTTCCCATGGGTAGCGCATATAATATGATGTGAAAAAATATAAATGAGAAAACAGAAATTAGCTTATTGCTCTCTATGGCTTCAACATTTTTAAACATGTTTGAAAATAAAGTTCCATTTCCATATTTGTTATAGCAATAGTATACGTGAATTAGCAAAATGGTCATCATGATTGCAAAATCTCTCAATAAATACGTGATGTACCTAAAGGTGGATACGTTTATGTAATCATTGCAAAGTGCTGTGAACGAGTTCATTAGATCTGTTACGTAGCTGGTGTCTTCTTTCTTCATTATTTCATTTTTAATATTTTCGCTTAATAATTTGTTTTTCTTCTCTAATTTTTTCGCTTCCTTTAGGCGTACTTCCTTGCAGATATTCTTCGCACACTTTAAATCCCATACTAATCCCAAGTGATAAAAAAATTGAATTACGTATTTAGTTGGGTTTATGCTCAGAATGTAGAAATTTTCGTTCATGGCATAGCAGTAGGGGAAAACATGATGGTAATTGTGGCATCCTTCTCCCAGTGCTACAAGGGAGGTAAATATGTTGTTTGAAGCTTTTATATCATTATTGTATGGTCTATGTCCAAATGAATGCGAGGCACTGTTGATTGACCATGTGGCATGTAACGTGATGATCCATCTTAGCGCTCCCAAAATGAAGAATCCATCCCAGAAATTGTTATACATAAAATAGGAATATATTCCCGGTATAATGAAACAAAAAAAAAAGTTAAAATATGGATCCAATTTATGTTGCAATAGGAGCAATGGGTTCTGTAATAAATCATCCATATATATTTCTTTCTCCTTCTCCCTCACATATTTTGTCTTCTGATATAATAACCATCCAACATGGCTATAGAAGAACCCATATCTAATGTTATGCGGATCGTACTTGGTATCACTATACTTATGATGTAGGCGATGATTTTTGGACCACGTTATTACGCTTCCTTGGTTTGCAAAGCTGTTCAAAATTAAGAACAGAACCTGCACGAACGTACCCGCTTTAAATGATCGGTGGGACCACAGACGGTGTGCGCCGAATGTTATGCCAAATCCGTTTATTAAGTAAAATGATATGCACTGCAAGGGGGGGAAGGGGGAGAGAGGATGCAAAAAAACAATGGGGTGGACAAAACATGAGTGGTACAAACCAGCGCAGACGATGCGACATGGGGATATATATATATATATATATATATATATATATAACAACGTGGAAGCACACAAAAGCAGTGCTTACCTGAGCGCACAAGGACCTTCCATATTCATGGTAATACAACTTGATCATGCCAATTACGCCAAATATATGGAAAAACAAAATGAAAGAAAATAGGGAGGATCTGAACTGCTTGTGGTACGTATATATATAGTTCACGAAGACAATGTAGGCGTAATATACGTGGAATACAATAGCAAAGACTGAAAAATTATGAATTGATCTTGAGTTATCATTAGAGGTGTATAGTATTTTTGTAAAAAATAGACTCAGCCATATCATATAAGCAATGCTCAGGAAGTGGTTAATTCTTTTAAATAACTTTATGTTTGTATTATTATGATAAAAATTGCTAGCTAAAGAAATCAAACTTTTGCTGAGCTGTAACGTTAAATATACCTTTATAATCATGACGTTGTGAATATATTTCCAGAAAAAAAAGTAGAAAAATACATAAAATGTTTGCGAGAAAAAAAAGTAAATCCAAATCATATTTGATTTTGATCTGTCTTTTTTTTTCTGAAATTCAAGGATATTTTTTTTTTTCATATATTCTTCTTCTTCTCTTTCTTTTTTCTGGACTTCTTCTATAATTTCTTTTTCCTTTAAGATCCCTTCATTTTCTTTTATACTTTTTTCGTTATTTAAAATCTTCTTTGCTAACTGTTCCAAGTGTTTCGAAGTATCTCCTATCAATTCATATTCATGTCTGTACTCGTTTTCATTTTCTTTGCTAATTTCGTATTTGTGGATAAATCTATTCTCGCCACTCGCTGATTTTTCATTTGTTTCTTTCTTATTGGTCCAAAGGGACTCTAAAAAGGCACACAGCTGCGTAATGTTGTACACATGAAGCAAGTTAATCCCCAAATGGATGTTCAGGTCAACGTATTTCAAACTTAATAAAGATATGAGAGTGACCAATAGTCCCTTGGCAACATTTACAAAATGAATAAACTTATGGGAGAAATATTTCCTGAAAATATAGCAGGACGCCAAAAAAACAACATATGTTATATAAATAATTCCTACATGTTCGATATTCAGAAATCTTTTACTAAAAGCCTCCCACATTTTTCCCTGCAAGTGGTTGAAATTCGTTTCCGCGTTTTGTGCTTTGTAACCCATCGATTACTTTCAACGTGCTTTTCTCTTCACTTTGGTGAGGTCAATTATTTAAAAACAAAAAATTCTACTGAACACTGTGTTCGTGTACACATTTGCATGCAAATGTGTACACCTGTTATTTGGTTAAAAGGACACACTGCATAATTTTGTTTTTCTCCTTCCTGGAACGTGTGTTTACGCGTAGCTATTAATTTATTTTTTGCGTGTTTGCACACACGCAAGTATATACGAATAACGTTCGTACAACTTTTTTCCCCTGAACAGCGTGTGCTATGCTATAAAAAGGGAAAATGACTCCTCTTCTTAACAGTCACATATATATACGAGCTGCACACATATTCATATATACGTTTATAAATCATTGACAAATTTTACTCCAACTATATGTATAGTGTTTATTTCGTGCCTATATTATACTTGTAAAATTGGATTTTTTTTTTTTTTTTTTTTTTTTCATTCCATTTTGTGAACAAAAAAAAAAAAAAATGACACTTTTTCGAATAGCAGATTTTATAAGGTTTTGCATACAAAGGAAATATGCAAATGACATGTCACTTTTACATATTTTGTACTTACATTTATATATGTGTGTATGTGCTTGTACACGTTTTTACAAGGTTACCATATATATGGTCCTTTAGCATGTCATTGCACTTTTATAAAATTCCACTCACGTGACAATTATGTATGTGGTTTATTTTCGCATGCGGTGAAACGGTTAATTTTTTCTTTTAATTTTTGCCCGTTCTTGGCTTAATCCAATGGTTGGTTTTGTAGAAAATTGCATTCATTTTTTTAAGCGTATTTTTTTTAGTTTTATACTTATGTTAATGATAAAAAAAAATGCCTTAAGTGTTTCTTTCAGTTTTGCAAATTCAGCAAACCCGCACAATCGTGCACTCGACCAGTGCCATGTGTGCACATGCATAAGAACACATGTGTATACAAATTACGTATGGATATATGCTGCAAAGATTTTTGCAAGCACACCGTACACTCATAAAGGTTCTCACCACGTGGCGACAACACGAATTCGACGCATACATCCTGCCCTTTTCTAGGGACGCTTTGTGCTTTTTCACCCAAACATATCAGCCGCTGACTC